TCAAATACACACTGAACTCAACTTCTAAGCTGCAGCGGCTATGGCCGATCTACTACTACTGGCTATGGACGAACTATCTTCCTTCAGCCCACTTCGACCTCGGGCATCTGCAGACCACCTCGCACAAAACGCACTGGCAGCGCTTCCGCATGGCTTGCAGCAGAATGAATGAATTGCTGGACGCTGCCTCTTGATTTATACTTCTGTTGGCCGCTGGTCTGCCCCTTTCCACCAGGACCTTGGTGCACACAGTCCCACACGGTACTTGCTTGACTGGACTGAGTGTGACTGGGACCGGTACCGCTGACTGCACGGGGTTGCACTGCCGACTCAATGCAGTTGGACTTACGACTTGCCTACAGACCTCTAGCCTAGCAGTTTCGACCTCTACGCAGCTGCAAACCCTACTTGACAGATCTACAGATCGAATCCCTACAGCTACAGGGACCTACGACAAAGAGCAGTCACTACTAAAACACAGGTCGCGGGCTCAAAACACACAGGGATCTACTCGATACTGTACACGGGTGCAGGTAAGGTCTAGGGATCGAACCCTGGGATCTGCATCTGCTTCTGCAAAGGTGAAAACCGTTTCACTCTTCACTACACGCATGCATAAAAAAGGTTAATCGAATAGCAGAGGGTCAGAGTCAGTGACCTACCAACCTGCAAGGCTGAGTGCTAAACTAGCCACAAGGCCCACAACAGGATTAATGACCCGAACTCATTCAACCAAAACTCGGAGGTCCCTCATCACACAGCACACACAGAAAAACTTGAAGGGGTCAAGGGAATCGAGTTCAATCAACCATGAGTAGACACTGTTTGAATGCCACTGAAGAATACAGGCATACGCACGGTCGAAACGCGTTGGGCAATCTGTACGATTCGAACACTTGGTAATCAATGATTAATATTCTTCTTTGACTGTTCACCTTCTATGGTGTCACTCTCCTACCATTCTTGGCTTCTTCATACTTAAGTCGGTCAACTGTCTAATGTGTGTATGGAGTCAGCCAACGTATGATCCGGCCCAATCGAGTGTGATTGCATGTCTAGTCCGTGTATGCTGATGAGTCTGTCCGGATCTTGATTGCTCACGGACGAGGGGTGCAGTGCAGTTTGTTCACTACATCTCTCATCTACTTGACCATGTTTCCAAAACAGTGCTGATTACTCTGTACTGGAAATCTAGCTTGGCCCATTGATTCAAGCGCCTACGCCTACAAATTATATGCTCTTGGTATGCCGGAAACATTATTTTCGGAGTTCAATGGTTGGTTTATCTTGCCACTTCGTGCATACATACGCACAATTCCACATTTCCACACATCCAAAGTAATTCCACACATACAGAGACACACACACACACATTGTAAGGTAAAGCTGTCTCAATTTAGGATCTACTCATCTGGGTGAAAAAGGGGTTGTTGTGGTGACAGTCTCATACACACGCACTCACATTGTTAAGGTAAAGCTGTTTCAATTTTGGATCTACTCATCTGGGTGGACAAGGGGTTGTTGTGGTGACAGTCTAATACACACACACACACACACACACACACACACACACACACACACACACACACACACACACACACACACACACACACACACACACACACACA